AATAATTATCCAATAACTTATATTGTATTTAAAATAAATTAACAAGGAGAATAATACCAATGACATTTCAAATTGTCAAGAATATAATCAAAATTTAAAACTTTGAAACTATACTATCTTAACACATTTAGCAAATTTAAATTTGATATTTTACAATGGATTCATCAATCAATCAAATAAATTGCTCCCAATCATTTTCCAAAACCACACCGTAATCGTTATCAAGCCGAACATATACAACAAGAAACTGAGAACAACCCAAACTGAGTACTTTCAAACCCGACCCATTGTAAACTGAAATCGTTTAAACCCGACAAAAACCAGATAAACCCAAATCCTTTACAACCTGTAACTGGTTAAGACCGAACCGTTTATAACCCGTAATAAGTTATGACCGAACCTTTTACAACCCGTAACCGGTTATAAGCAAATCGTTTTTAACCCGTTATGATCGTAGAGTTTTTTTTTTCTTTTTTTTTTGGGTACATTTTATTGATAGTAAAACTAAAAGGTTTAATTTCAATTACATAGTATTTATATTGAATGGGTTTGGAATTTTAGTGTCATTGAAACTTTTATGCTAAAATATTATCGTCCTTTTACGAGTAATGGCTTATGGAACGATATTGTATTTTTAAAAACTATGAATCAAAAGCTAACTCTATATTTGTTATTATTATTTGATCTTGAATATCATTATACAAAAAAGGGACATAAAGCAACAACTAATTAATACTCTGTATGATCTACTAGTATAACTAATTAAGAAATGTTGAGGATATAATAGAAGATCTACGTTAACGAATCCCATTTCAAACTGGCAAAATCAGTTGTCAAAACGACCGAGTTCAACTCGAATCGATTACAACCCGAACCGATTAGGACCCGATAGGTTTGGACCCAAAACCAGCTTTAAACTGACAAACCCCATTTTTAAACCGACCGAATTAAACCCGAACCGGTAATGACCCGAACCAATTATAACCAACCCCGATTAGAATCTGACCAGAAAAGAAAATGTAATAAAAATAAACCGAACTGATCCTAAATTATTTAAAATCGACCCAAAATCACCGGATAATAATTCCAACCTGTTACAAACCGAAAACCGAACCCAAAACCGAATCGCAAACTCGATTGACACCCCCAGAATAAGTGACTGTAGTAGTAACTTATATTTTAACATAGTAACCTTTATTAAAAGTTGTTTGACATTTAACATTATTGTGAACTTGAAGTATGATGTTATGTTAAACACAGTGACCCTAATTTTACCATATTAACCGTTATTATTTAAATTGACCAGTATATGAAAAAATTTATTAAACAAATAACCTCGTATAGTCTTCATAATATCAAAATGACTTTTATTTCTACATATTTCCTCCATTTTTTTAGTTGCTATAATTTTATTTTTACGGTCTTCTAGACAATTTTTAAGAAGAGAAAGATAGTGAAAAAAAAATAAGATGGACCCATGTGGGTAGGAGAGAGATAGAGAGAAAAGAATGTCAAAAGTGGAAAGTGTTGAACTAATTAAAATTTTCCAAAATAGAAAAATGTAGTAACTAAAAAGAAACGGGGGAAGTAATTACCTTTATTTCAATCTAGTTACTTTTTTTATTAATATAAAACAATGAACCATAATGTCTATAATATTAGTGGTTCACCATACATTACTGTGGACCATGTCCTTTAAGAGTTTGTACCATCTTAAAATACTTAAAACAATCTCTTTGTGAACTGCTAAACAACACTCTCATTTGACAAGGCAATGCTCCCTTTTTAACAGGCAAGGACAATCTGTAGGAATTTATAGGTACTATTAAGCGGAAAATCATGAATTATATTCAATAAAGAACCTAATCCCAAGATCGCATTCATAACACACAAGACAAATAATAATACATTTGAAGCGTGAATTCCACGTAGCAATTGACAGGCAAATCAGGGAGAGAATAGAGGCCCAAGCGTTGCTCCTCTACTTGATCCACGAGCTTCGAACGAGCCGTCCACCAATACTAGAATGGTCGAGTGATTGAGGAAAAAAACGATCACCACCTTAAATGGACTAACCGACCACCATGAACCACCACACTAGCGCAAGGAAAGAGGAGAGAGCCGTGAGAGAGAGAGGAGAGTTTGAGAGGGCTTCATCTCGTGTTTTCTAATTAGGGTTTGATCAAACTGATCACTGAATTGCTTCTATCTCTCAAACCCTAGGCACCTAGTATATTTATAATCACATTATAATTAGACTAGGGTTAGGAAGCCCAAATCCCTCTTACCTTACTCCATATGGCCGACCACTATAGGGATGAGGCCCATCATGGGCCTTGTCCTCTCGTGCTCGATCTAGGCCCTGTGTGTGACCTTATTGGATCCGTCTAATTGGATTTGGGCTATTTTACTACCCCAAAGATCGTTAGTACCTCTAGCTATGATAAAAACGACAACTCAAATGTCCGAACTTAATTATCTACATAATTTGATACATTTATATATCTAGTAATTGCACACGACGAAGACATAAATCCTTCAATCTCCCACTTTTTTGAGACAAGTGTGAAATATTCAAATTCCTTTATTGAAATCAATCTTATATGCCCCTATAACCCATGAAACTACGCTATCCAATCAATCTTACATGCTAGTCCATTTATTGAAATCATTTATGTCCACTTTAATGATTTTGAACGAGGAACTTAAATAATATATGAATTTTTTTCACCTGTGGAGTTTCATTCACCAAGTCATCAACCTGATAAGCCCATCAATTCACAATTATTTTGGACATTTTATTTAATTTCCAAAACCATAATTGAATAAGATAATTGAAATTTCTATTTTAAACATAATTCTGCAAATATAATCATTCCTTATGTAATATGTTTTCTCAAAACATACACAACTTAAATTACATAACTTGCTTCAATCCAAGTCTTTAATATGACTCTCATATCTTAGTCTATGATGGGGTTTAGTGATTTCTCACTCATAATAAAACTTTGCAGATCACGACATCTCGCTTGTCATTAATCTCATAAATGAGGCGATATCTCATTCTATTTCTTTGGATTTGTGATGTGATCATGGCTCCTTTGTTTTGGAAAAGGTATCCTTTTAGTCATAGGACAATTTGATCCAAACTTCCTCCTTAACTACTCTTACTGTAGCTAAATACATATATTCTGACATTGAGTATGCAACATTATTCTGCTTTAAACTGTTGGACTTAATGATTTTGATGATGACACAACCTCAGTTACTTACAAACTAATAAGTGCTTGATTATTTAAGTGTGTACTCAGTTATAAAGACCATGAGAATTAAGTGTCTTGTAAAAATACCATGAGGAACAAGAAGGCCAGAAGCAGAGCTAGCCATATAGAAGAGTTCCCTCACAGGAACTGGCGCTTCAGAAATGAAGACTGGAGAAGAGAAGGTTCCCTCAGGGAACAGAAGCTTCAGAGAAGAAGCTTCATCAGAGAAGAGAAGTTCCTCCCAAGGAACAGAAGCCTCGGAATAAAAGCTTCATCAGAGAACATGAAGACTAAATATATTTTTATATTTTAGGATTTATGTAAGTATAAGATATTAATTTGCACTCGAAAAATCTGTGTGGAATTGGTCTAAAAGATAAAATACGTGCATGCTAGTTTTTAGGAAAACTGTTATCATTTAAATGGTTATCTTTTTCTCAAATTAAAAAGATTTTATTTTATTCCTTTTTCTGATTTTTGGAAAATATCTTTTAAATAAAATCTCCCATGTTTTCCAAAACTTACGGCCTACTCTCCCATGTTCTTCTTTAGTCATGGGTTTGCACATTAAGGAGTTCAAGGTTCCTTAATTATAGGGACATGATCTTCTTAGTGGGTTGGAGTAGCGGTGTAATGGATTTGCTGCACAAAGAAGTTTTTCCTAAACAAATTTTGGTCTATAAATAGTTGTTGATTTCAGATGGAAAAACTCACCCTTTCTCACATAAGTTTTCAAGCTTCAAATCGAGTCAAGTGTCAATTCCACACAAGTTCATTAGAGTGTTCTTAATGTTCTTATACTAGAGTTTGTTTTTCTTTCGAGTTGTAATTTGGGGAATGGGGAAGTTTGAGTGAACCTTTGTGTATGAGAAAGAGAAGAGGGAAAGAGAAGAGAAAGTGAAGATAGAACAGAGAAGTGAGAAGAGAGAAAGAGAAGAGAAGAGTAACAAGTTGGGTGACTTGTTCCTCAGGGTCTCAAGTTCGTAGAGGAACTTGAGTTTGAGTCGTTAGCTTGTAATAGGATCATTTGCCCTATTATAGTGAAGATTCTTTTCCCAAAATCCCATGTGGTCGTGGTTTTTCTCCTTGTTAGGGCCAAGGAGTTTTCCACGTAAAATCTCTCTTGCATTCTTTAGTTCCTTTAGTTAATCTCTTAGTTCCTTTAGCTAACTTAATTTTAATTCCGCAAAACGTTTGGCTAAATTCTCATACTACAATTCAACCCCCCCTTCTTTTAGTTTTAATTAAAACAAAAATTGGTATCAGAGCCTAACTTCTAGGAAAATCAGGAAACCCTGAAGAAGAAAGGTCTTGGAGAAAATGAATACTCATGAGAAGCTCGAGGAAGGATACTCAACTCAAAGGCCTCCTATGTTCAACGGCAAGTTCTATACTTACAGGAAGAACCGCATGGAGATCTTTATCAAGGCAAAGAACTATCAAGTCTGGAGGGTCATCGAGGTTGGTGATTTCGAATTCACCAAAACTAATGCTCAGAATGAGGTAATCCCTAAGCCTATGTCTGAATATGAAAAAGAGGACTTTGATAAAATGGAAATAAATGCTATGGCTGTGAAATTGCTCTACTGTGGACTTGGACCTCACGAACACAATCGTGTTATGGGGTGCAAGAACGCTAAGGAAATCTGAGATTTGCTGCAGATTACTCATGAAGGAACTAATGAGGTTAAACGCTCAAAAATCGAACTACTTACGTCTAAGTATGAAAGATTTGAGATGCATCCTAAGGAAACCATTCAAGATATGCTAACCCATTTTACTAACATCATAAATGAGTTGGTTTCCCTTGGTAGACAGATTCCTACATATGAGCAGGTTAGGAAGGTTCTTAGAAGTCTTCCACAAGATGAGAGATGGAGAGATAAGGTGACAACCCTTCAGGAAACGAAGGACTTTACAAAATTCAATATTGAACAACTAGCAGGTTCTCTCATGACTCATGAGCTACACCTTGGAGTCAACAATGAACCCATGAGGAACAAGGGATTGGCTCTTAAGGCTGATGTGGAGGAAGACTCAGAAGTGGACGAGGATGAGGCTGCCCTAATTGTGCGAAGATTCAAAAAGATGTTCAAGAAAGGCCGAACCTCAAGGAACTTCGGGAAAAAGACCTCAAATACAAAGCCTGACTACAGCTGCCACAAGTGTGGATCCCCAGATCACTTTATCAGAGACTGTCCCCTTTGGGAAAATGATAAAGGGAAAGGAAAGGCTAAGGAACAGGGAAGAGAAAAATTCAGCAAAGCAAACTATCAAAATTCAGACATGAGGAAGGCCATGATAGCAGCCTAGGGAGACTCAGAGAGTGAAGAAGAAGATGATGACCAACCAGAAGAAGAGACGACCAATCTCTGTTTGATGGCCAAATCAGATGATGAATAGGCTTACCTTGAGGAACTTCAAAAAGAGGTATTTCTTGATCCTAAACAGCTTAAAACTCTCTCTAAAGATGTCTTGATAGATATATGTCTAGAAGAAGAAGAATTCTTTAGAGATACATGTGTGAAGTTGAATAAATGTGAAAAAGCTCTTAAGGTTTGCAGAGAACATGATACCTGGTTGGAAACAGCCTATGCCAAGTCTCAAAGCAAACTAAGAGAGCTTGATTTTAAATACAAACACATAACTGAGATAGCTGATATAATTAAGAATGAAAGTATTCTCCTCAATGTTGAATTAACTCAGTATAAGCTTATAAATTCTGATATCAGTTCTAGCAGTTCCTCAAGCGATCAGTTGCTTAAATTCAATGTTGATTTTGAAAATTTGAAAAATGAGCTTTCTACTTTAAAAACCCAAAAGGATCAACTTGAATCGGAACTGAATGCTAGAAAGGATAGAAGTATTGACCCAAAAGTCATACCTAAGTGGATAGCCGAAGCTCAAGGAAAAAGAACTGAAGGCCTTGGTTATATGACAAAGAAGAAAGGTAAGCAAAAGAAATATGTTGAGCTTCCTAGGATGAAGGTATGCACTTTTTGTGGTAAGACTGGACATCTCTATGGATAGTGTAGGATAAGAGAAGAAGCTGATAAAAGAAATGTAAAACAAGTGTGGGTCAAGAAAACTGATATTACATCCATGTCTAAGGAACCCAAGGAAACCTGGGTTCCTGATCCTAATGCTTAGTTTTCTTGCAGGTCCTAGTGAGGGGAACAACTCTTGGTATCTCGACAGCGGTTGTTCAAAGCATATGACAAGTGATAAATCAAAATTCCTCTCACTAGAAGACTACCCTGGAGGAACAGTAACCTTTGGGAATAATAAGAAGGGCGAGATCATTGGAAAAGGCAAAATTGGAAGATCTAAATCTCATTCCATTGATAATGTGTTCCTGGTCGAGGGCTTAATGCACAATTTTCTCAGTATATCACAATTCTGTGATAAAGGAAACTTTGTAAGTTTTACTTCGGATTCTTGCAACATCATCAACAACAAGTCAGGAAAGGTTGTTCTAGAAGGAACAAGAAGAGGGAACACTTATACAGTTGACCTCAACTTAATCCCAAGGAACGACCTTACATGTCTGAGTATTGTTGAAGATGATCCCCTGCTATGGCATAAACGTTTTGGACATGCTAGCTTTTCATTACTAGAAAAGCTGAGGGCAAGGAACTTGGTTGTAGGACTTCCTATTATCAAGTTCCTACAGAACAAAGTTTGTGATGCATGTGTGAAAGGCAAGCATGTTCGCTCATCTTTTAAATTGAAGAAAATGGTAAGCACTACAAAGCCTTTTGAATTAATCCATAAGGATTTGTGTGGTCCCATGAGAATTCAAAGCAGGAGTGGCAAGAAATATGTTTTGGTTATTGTTGATGATTATTCTAGATTCACTTGGGTTATTTTTCTTGCTAGTAAAGATGAAACTTTTAACGAGTTTGTTGCTTTTGCCAAGAAAATACAGAAAATCAGTGGTCACTTCATAGTCCATCTCAAATCAGATCACAGAACTGAATTTGAGAACTCTAGATTCGATGAGTTTTGCAGGGAAAATGGCATGAACCATAACTTCTCAGCTCCAAGGACTCCCCAACAAAATGGAGTTGTAGAAAGGAAGAATCGAACCCTTGAGGAAATGGCTAGAACGATGCTGATTGCAAGTGGATTGCCAAGGAACTTCTGGGCTAAAGCCGTGAATACAGCATGTTACATCCTTAACAGGGTAACAATCAGAAGTATCATCAACAAGACTCCCTATGAACTATTCAGGGGAAGGAAGCCAAACATATCTCATCTTAAAGCCTTTGGTTGTAAGTGCTTTGTACATAACAATGGTAAGAAAAACCTAGGGAAATTTGATGAAAGAAGTGAAGAGGCTATATTTCTAGGATATGCCTCTGATAGCAAAGCTTATAGAGTCTACAATAAAAGCTCAATGTGTGTTGAGGAAAGCATTCATATAATCTTTGATGAAGTTAACCAGTTTGTGAGTGTACAGGAACAAGAAGATGATAATGATTTTGAAATTGTATTGATAAGAGACAGGGATGAAGAGGAGACTCAAAAGCAAACCAAGGAAAAGCAGCCTGCTCCAGAAGAGGAACATCTAGAAAATGGAGAGGTTCCTCAACCAGATGAACAGGTGAATGAGGAACAAGAAGAAGAAGCAGAAGGAACAGAAATAGAAGCTCCTCAAATTGGAGTTCCAGCAAGGGAATTCCAACCCAGGCCATTCAGGTATCGAGGTTCCCATCAAACTGATCTAATTATCAGTGATATAGGAAAAGGAACTCAAAACAAGATCACAAATGAGGAACTACTGCGCATTCCATGCATTTCTGTCCATTCTAGAGCCAAGAAATCATCAAGAAGCCTTGGGAGATGTTGATTGGATAGTGGCCATGCAAGAGGAACTCAATGAGTTCGAAAGGAACAAAGTCTGGCACCTTGAACCAAAGCCTAAGGAAAAGAAAGTAATTAGGCTCAAATGGGTGTTCAGGAACAAGCTTGATGAACATGGCACCATTGTAAGGAACAAGGCTAGATTGGTTGTGAAAGGCTACAACCAACAGGAAGGTATTGATTTCGATGAAACCTTTGCTCCTGTAGCTAGATTAGAAGCTATTAGAATCCTAGTATCTTTTTCTTCTTTTATGGGTTTTAAACTCTATAAAATGGATGTGAAATGTACTTTTCTAAATAGTTTCTTAAATGAGGAGGTGTTTGTTGAACAATCTCCAGGTTTCGAAAATCCTAAATTTCCAAATCATGTTTTTAAGCTTGATAAAGCTCTCTACGGGCTTAAACAAGCTCTAAGAGCCTGGTATGAAAGGCTTTCAAAGGTCCTACTGAAAAATGATTTCAAAAGAGGAAAAGTAGACAAAACTCTTTTTCTTAAATCTCGAGGAACTGATTTGTTAGTTGTGCAGATCTATGTAGATGATATTATATTTGGTGCTACTAACAATGGTTTGTGCAAGTACTTTGCTGAGCTAATGGATGGTGAATTTGAGATGAGCATGATGGGTGAATTAAATTTCTTCCTTGGACTTCAAATAAAGCAAACAGCTGAAGGAATAATGATTCACCAACAGAAGTATGTCAAGGAATATCTGAAGAAGTACAACATGGAGAATGCCAAGACAAATCATACACCTATGGGAACAACAACAAGACTTGATGAGGATCCACAAGGAACAAGTGTGGATCAAACCACTTACAGAGGTATGATTGGTTCATTGCTGTATCTAACAGCCAGTAGGCCTGACATTTCTTTTAGTGTTGGATTGTGTGCTAGATTTCAGTCTAATCCTAAAGAATCACATCTAACGGGTGTTAAGAGAATTTTGAGATACCTCAAAGGAACAGATGACCTGTGTCTGTTCTATCCTAGAAGTGATGACTTTAAGCTTAAAGGATTCACAGATGCTGACTATGCAGGTGACCTAGTCAATAGGAACCTCAGGTATGGTTCAGTTCCTTGGCTCTTGTCTAGTTTCTTAGGGTTCCAAGAAGCAAAATACTGTTGCATTGTCTACTGCAGAGGCTAAGTATGTAGCAGCAGCTGCTTGTTACTCTCAAGTCCTCTGGATAAAACAACAGTTACGTGACTTTGGTATTAAATTTAATTGCATTACTATCTACTATGATAAAACTAGTGCAATTTGCATATCTAAAGATCCAGTCCATCATTCAAGAGTTAAGCCTATTCATATAAGGCATCATTTCCTTAAGGATAATGTTGAAAAGGGTTTGATTAAATTAGATTTCTGTCAAACTAACAATCAAATTGCAGATATATTAACAAAACCCTTGAATAGAGAAAGGCATGAGAAGATGAGAATGGAACTTGGGATGATTAAGTTATACTAAGAAAAATGCATCAAGTTTCCTCAGGCATGAAGCTCAAACTGACATGCTTAATCTGTAATATACTGTGCACAAGTGTTATATGTTTAATTACATAGTTAAGACAGGTTGTAAGCAGGAGTAATATTTACTAAGGGCATGTAAATTTGAAAGACATAGAATATGAAAAGTCCAAAATTGGTTGCATGAGCCTTGTTTATTTGTTCCGTGTATCAAGTTGTATTTGCAAGTGTTCTTTACTGATAATATTCAAAAGATAAAATTGTTGTGTTTATCTATCTTTCAAAATTCCAAATTCTTTTTATCTAAACACAAATAAATCGGATGAATGCATCTAATTTCATCATTATCTTTTGTTCAAAAAGTAGCCCACTTACACTACTCTCTTGAAACACGGTTTCCGTTTCCCTAAGCAATAAATATGAGTGTCAAATAAACTAAATTCACCTCACCTCCCAAGCAACACCTCACTTCACCAATTTACCTCCACCATAAAAGATGTTAGCCTCACACAAATTTACAGCACACAAAAATTACGTTCTCTCTCATCACTCCGATCAAAACTACTCTCCAATGTCTACCTCTCCAAAAACCCAAATTGAAGCCGACCTTAACACAAACCCAATTCCAGAAATTACCATGGAAATCCCACCGGAAATTAACCCCATTGATGACCAAGAGCCTCCAAAAGTGGATTCAACTACCGAATCCCAGTCTTCTCGAAAAAGGAAGTCCGATGACATGCAAGAAGAAGAAGAAAGCGCTCCGGAACTAGGGTCAATTACCGAGACAAGCGTGCAACCGTGAAATGGCAAGAGAAGATCAGTGATCACTTTGTGACAGGTTTAGCTATTAATCTTCCTTGGTGTAAGTCTGTTAAATTGTATGAACTGCTTGATTTGATTGAAGCTCAAAATTGGGTAAATTTGTTGAGTGAATTCTTTAATCGGAGTATGTATGTTGATGCTATGAGGGATTTTTGCAAAAGTTTCAAATACTCTAAAGGTGTTATTCGCTGCTGTGTGTATGAAAAAGAAATTGAGTTTGATGCGATGTATCTGGCTGAGTTGTTTGATGTTCCTAATACTGGATATGACTTGTATTTTAAGAGTAATGTGATAAGGAACCCTCTTCCTGATGCAAATATTGATGAGATAGTAGAGTTTCTAGGTGGAGACCCGGAAGAAACCTACATAAATCACAATGACCTAACCCCTCTTGACAAAATTCTGCTAAAATTTGTTTTCAATGATATTATCCCTCGCACCCAAAAGAGAGACAGTGCCAACAAGCTTGACTCTGTTCTCATTTATTGCCTAGCCAAAAAGATCCAAATAAACTTTCCCTCTACCATGGTTCAACACCTCTCTCACTGTGTTCCAAAAGGTTGGAAGGTGGGATATGGTAACCTTCTCACCTATGTCTTTGAAAGCTTTGGTATTTCCTTTTTTGATAAAGAACCCCTGCCCCTCAAAAACACCAAGTACATGCAGCCCATTTTCCTTGAAAACCATAAGATGAAGGTTGTAGATGGATGTTTTGAGGTTGCGCTGGAGAAAAAAAAAAGATAAAAGACCAAAGGAAGTAGGTGCCATAGCTGAGGGGGAAGAAGAGAGAGCTGCTGGGATAATAGAGGGAGTGGTGCAGGACATTCAGGAGGAGGAAGAGGAAAAGGTGGTTGAGGAAGTGATTGAGACAGGGGGAAGGAAGAAAAGGAAGAGCTTGAGGCTGCTGAAGAAAAAGGAGCCCTCTGTACCCATTTGCATTGATATGACTGGGGTGCAAGAGGAATTACAGAAGGTCTCAAGCTCTCCTAGTCTGGGCAAGTATGCATCTGCAGGAACAGGTTTCGCAGCTTTCAGTTACCCATCAAAGGTTCCCAGCGAGGAGGTCAAGGAGATGAAGGATATGCTCCTGAAGGTGCTGAAGGAACAAGAGGGTTCAAAGAAAAACATGGCAGAACTGAAGAAGAGCATGCTCATTCTGAGCACTAATGTCAAGAAGATGGTCTCAAGCTCTAAACAAGGGAGACAGTCCATTGTGAAGGACATAGTATCTCAAATCAGCAAGAAGCTGGAGGATCTTGCTGTTGATGATGACCAGAGCATTGCATCTTAACCTTCCTTTCCTTGCAGCCTCTTTATGTTGATGAAAATTATGTTTATTTGCTTTTGGAAACAATTTTTTTGGGGTCTAGAATATTTTGGGCATTTTTTAATTTTTTTTGGTAATCTTGCAAATTTGGTACAATTGGCCGATGTTTTAAATCGATTTTGGATGATGAATGTTTATGTTTCTTTTGCTTATATGCTTTGTGAATATTTGATCTCTATGCATGCTTCTTGTCTTAACAACAAACCACTAGTTGGTGTTGTGTTATGGTATACTATACATATATGTGTTAGTTTTTGATAATTCCAAAAGGGGGAAAAGGATGCAAACTATCAAGAAAACTTAATCATTCTATGGTCTCTGTTCGAAATCTTCACAAGCTGCCTAATCTCTACAAGCAGGTATAATGTATATACAAGTTTTTCAGTTTTTCCTTAAGCTACTTATTTATGCATTGTTTTTATTTCCTTAACATTAGTTTCCATTATGCATTTATTTTGTTTTTGCATTTTCTTTCTTTAGGAATAAAATGGATTATCTCTGTTTCCTTGTAAGTAAGTTTGGTTTGTTTGTCATCATCAAAAAGGGGGAATATTGTTGGACTTAATGATTTTGATGATGACACAACCTCAGTTACTTACAAACTAATAAGTGCTTGATTGTTTAAGTGTGTACTCAGTTATAAAGACCAGGAGAATTAAGTGTCTTGTAAAAATACCATGAGGAACAAGAAGGCCAAAAGCAGAGCTAGCCATATAGAAGAGTTCCCTCACAGGAACTGGCGCTTCAGAAATGAAGACTGGAGAAGAGAAGGTTCCCTCAGGGAACAAAAGCTTCAGAGAAGAAGCCTCATCAGAGAAGAGAAATTCCTCCCAAGGAACAGAAGCCTCGGAATAGAAGCTTCATCAGAAAACATGAAGACTAAATATATTTTTATATTTTAGGATTTATTTAAGTATAAGATATTAATTTGCACTCGAAAAATCTGTGTGGAATTGGTCTAAAAGATAAAATATGTGCATGCTAGTTTTTAGGAAAACTGTTATCATTTAAACGGTTATCTTTTTCTCAAATTAAAAAGATTTTATTTTATTCCTTTTTCTGATTTTAGGAAAATATCTTTTAAATAAAATCTCCCATGTTTTCCAAAACTTACGGCCTACTCTCCCATGTTCTTCTTCAGTCATGGGTTTGCACATTAAGGAGTTCATGGTTCCTTAATTATAGGGACATGATCTTTTTAGAGGGTTGGAGTAGTGGCGTAATGGATTTGCTGCACAAAGAAGTTTTTCCTAAAGAATTTTGGTCTATAAATAGTTGTTGATTTCAGATGGAAAAACTCACCCTTGCTCACATAAGTTTTCAAGCTTCAAATCGAGTCAAGTGTCAATTCCACACAAGTTCATT